AAAAAAGGAAGTAAAATTGGTAGATATTCAAACAATATGTTAAATCATTAAAAACCTTACACATTGAAATGAAACCTTGCATAATCTATATAGGTGAAAATATATCAATTGAAAGATTTTTTTTTATAAATTTTGAAATTTTTCTCATCAAACTAACCAGAAAATGTACCTTTACTGGCTGCATTCTTATCACATATGATAATTTCTATAGCCATAGGATTTGTATCCCCCTAATGTCAGACAAGCCTTTTTTGTAGCTTTAGGAGTTGTATACTCCTAGTTTATGTCAGACTAGCTGGTTTCTCCAGCCATAGGATTTGTATCCTGATCCCTACATTTTAAGAATCAAGTTGGTTTCTGGAGGTGTAGGATCAACTTATCTGACTAATAATAGGGGTGATACACATCGTACAGCTATAGAAATCAGCTTATCTGACTATAATGATAGGGGGGATACAAATCCTACAGCTATAGAAATCAGCTTGTCTGACTAATGATCGTAAAGCATCATAGCTGATAAGCATGAAGATGATACAAAATTATAAGGCTTAATTAATTTAACAATAAATTGATCTGACATTAAGGACCAGGATAGATTTAATTAGTTATACTAAGAAAAATAATGGAAACAAAGATTTGTTTGTTAAAAAAAGATCATTAGTTTGATAAGATGATCATTTTGATTCAACTTAATTCCATACTTATTTGTAAATAATTATCCTTTAATAGCATTGGAACCAGTGTATTTATTTTGATGATGATAATATATTTTAACTGAAACTTAAAGTCATATGACTGACCTATTTAACTAATTAGCTGTGCAATTAAGAGGAATCTATTGTATTTAAAAGTTTCTTTTATACACTACATATTTAATTGCATATTTCGAGGACTCCAGTATGAATAATTGCATAATATAATTAATTGAATGGGACTATAACACTAATGGTATCTACACAATTTTTCTTGAAACAATTGTGTCTTTGACTGATATTTTCAAAGGCAATCGTCTACTGCTATTCAAATATACTTGTACATATTCTTTATTCATTATTTGACAAATATCATGATTGAAGGAATCAATGTTAATAATTTGATTTGAAACAGATATAAATTTGAATAAAAAATGTTCCTAATGATATATATGTTACTATTACCTATCTGTTTTCCAAATGAGAAATATACAAGTGATTTTTTTTTTTTGATAATTGGATAATAAATTGAGCGAGATCTATATATATATACAATATCTTATGATTAATTAGCCGTACATACACATGTATATAGAATAAAAAGAGTACTTTTAACATTTGGAAAAAAACATGTTGCTTCTTCCAGCTTCTTTGTAAGAATGACCCTAATGACCTATACCTTTTCCCCATCCCTACATCTACCTGTGTGTACAGGTAATAGGTGCTAATGATTAAAACAACACCCTGCCATTATACCAGGGCAGATTCTCCACCCAGCGAAAAGTTTTCCCCTGCTCCAGGTAATCAGAGGACAGACCTTCGTCTCTTTCTATTGAAGTGTCAATAATTACTGCTTCAGTGACCTTGCCAGGTTTAATCAATAGTTCAAATAATTTCAACAGTTTTATAAATCCATCATTTTGTATTGTATAGAATAAGATCAATCAATTATTAAATAAGATATTGATTCATTGCATGTTTACAAAAATTTAAGTTTCTGAGGTAAATGATCAAATTAACTTTTTTCTCCAATTTTCTCATTGATATCATAATAAAATTGAGGGGGGATACAATTCCTATGGGGGGGATACTTTTCCTATGGCCATTTATTGTATCCGGATACTTATCCTATGGCCAGTTTTGGTATCCGGGTACTTATCCCATGGGGGATACAAATCTCACATGACACCGGGCTCGTATTCACGAAACCATTCTCAGGCTCAAACTCACATTTTGTGCTCAAACCCAGTTTCTTGCTCCGTAAATAAATTAAGATATTTAATCACATGTCCAAATTATGTAAAAATTGGATAGACTATAAACTGTTACAGTTTACATTGATAACAATTGACTCTGTGATTGTGACACCTAATTTAAGTGAGTTACGAGAAAGTTGTTTTGTGCACATAATCCATGCTTGAGCATGAGAATAGTTTCATGAATACGGGCCTCGGTGACAGTTTTCAGAAAAAAGGTTGCAAAAGGAAGCACATTATATGATATAAGTAACTTTAGGTTAAAATAACAATACAATAAGAAGTTCTAGTATTATATACATGCCGACTTCAGATTTAATTCAATTTTTAGAAAGACTAAAAAGGAAACACTTGCCAGCTTTCCAAAGGCAGGTGCAAAGATGAACTGAGTGAGAGGGAACGCGGCGAAGATCCAGCCGGACACAAGATTGCTGACGCCTTTTTCTCGAGCCTGTAAAACAGTGAGTTGTTATATTAATGCAGTGTTTTTTTACCAAACTTTTACAGCAGCCTGTGTTCCTTCATGCAGTGGGAAAATAAAGCAACATCTTTATTAAAATTGAGAAGAATAATGACTAAGTTTGTTCTGAACACAAACAGGAATTCAAAACTTATTTTTTTACTTTTATTTTGTCAAGTAAAGAGTGCAAATGGCCGATGTCTCACCTCTTAACTACTGAAAACAAGCCACTTAGCCAGTGTGCTGAATCAGTAAAGTCAGCTGTCAAAAATCCTAATACTGACGTTTTCGAAAGCTCGCAAAAATAAGTTTTCAATTCCTGTTTGTGTTCAAAACAAACCTAACCTTTATACAAACTTAGTCTTTATTGACCAAACTGATGAATCTTATTCTGGAAATCGAGAAAAAAAAATCTTTATTTTGGGAAATAAAGCAGTCTTTCTTTGCAAGAGGAAGCAGCCTGTTTTCAAATGTTGAACTATTGGGCAAAAATCACTGTAACCTGACATGTATCAGCATTACTCAGAATAACAAAAAATCCCTTTTTAACTCATTCACCCCTAAAGACACATTTGAACTCTTCCAATTCAAAGGTTGGATTAGTTCATTATGAAATTTCAGGGGTGAATGCTCCACCTTACCATACAGATTTGATGGAGGTCTACACTTACCAACTATTTACATATACCTCAGTTCGATTGACCTTTACTGCATAGCTACAGTTTCAGCAGTGGTACAGGGTTCCTTCAGTTATCAGAAATAACACAAATAAAGGGTTAACACTGATTAGGTGGAAATCAATTATCCTAAAATAGCATATAAAACAGTGATGAACATATCAAGCATTTGCATACTTGTCAACTTTTGGAGATTTCCATTGGGGAGAGTCTGCACTCTCAAATTTAAAACCTAAAAAAAATGTGTGTGTATACCCCCTAGAGACAAAATAACCCTTTAAAATGACATATTTCGAGTTGTTCTTTCAGATGAAATCATTAGATCTTAAAATATAGGAATAGTTTAGCAAATTCACTGGTTGAAAATACTAAATTTTAGAGTCCAAACTCGGGAGTCCCCCTCCTAAATAGGGAGGGTTGGCAAGTAGGCCTGATTAGTAAACAGTTAATACCTACCTCTTTAGGGAAGAACGGAGCTATAAGAGAGAGACACAGATAGTTGGCAAACCCGACCATGCAGAAGCTGATAACAATGGCCAGCTGTTTTTTCGATAAAGTTCTGAAAGAAAATTCCTTTTCAGAAACTTTTATGATTTCTACAGAAATTTCTTGATCCCTGCCACTGTCTCCATGAGTATCTGAAGCATCAACATCATCAGAAGTGATGACTTGATATTCTGCAATTACTTGATCCGACTCAAAGTGATGTTCCAAACTTGTATCTATAAAGTTCCTGGAATGAGCTTTGTGTCCTGAAGTTGTATCTGTTGTCTTTTGGGAATGAGATTTATGAACTGAACGAAAGTCTATTAAATCCTGAGAACAATATTTAGGAACTGAACTAGTATCTGTTGGGTCCTGAGACTGAGGTTCATGATCTGAACCAGCTTTTGTTGAGTTCTTGGAATGAGGTTCATGAACTGGACTGGAATCTGAGTTTTCAGAATGAGGTTCATGAACTGAAACAGCACCTGTTGACTTCTTGGAATTAGGATCCTGAACTGAACTGTTATCAGTTGAACTCATGTAAACTGAACTGGTATGTGTTGAGTTTTGGGAAATAGGTTCCTGGTCTGAAATAGAATCCGCTGATTTCTGGGTGTGAATATTTTGACCTGATCTGCTGTCTGTGTCAAAGCAATGGCACGAATGTTTTGAGCCAGGTTCTTTTAAGTTTTTACAAGTACACTTCTTCACTGAACCAGAATCTTCTGAATGATCGTTTGTTAAAACCTGTTGGTGGTTTACATTTGAACACACATGGCAAACTTCACCTATGTCCGTCCTCCCACACAAACCACACTGTGGGTCTGTAGAACTTTCATTTACATCCGTTTTCATCCCAACCGTCTTTAAAATGGAATCACCAATATCATTAGACATGTCTGTTTGTAAGGAGCATACTGATTGGTCAAAAACTCCATTGACACCTTGGAATGAGATTTTCGATTGGTCGACATCAGCTCCTACATTGTGCAGATCTACAGACAACTTGGACCTGGTTTGTGACGGGATACCATTGGATATGCGGTAGGGAGGCAGTGCCTGTATTCCTGGTGCCAGAGGACTTTGTTCGGTTGACTGAGTATTGGTCTCCATTGAGATAGCGGCCATTGTGATAAGAATGGGCCACGCCAGTCGCCAGTGTCACCAACCTGTCAACATAAGATGTATAGCTATGATAAACTTACTTATACATGTACATACATATATAAATATATCATAAAAGAAAAGTTATTTTGCAATGCCATTGTTTTCTAAATGAATTTTTCTTAAACTTGTATTAGCAGCTTTGTGGTTACAACAGAACTGCAAATATGTATAAACAGTATATATATTGTATACAGGAAAATATTTGCCGCCAAATATTCACCTCAAAAATCCTTATTCGCCAAGTGTTAATTACTTTTTTACATGTAATTACTATACATGGTCTGTTGTGTACCTATATTGGCTGTCATGACGAATTTGTCCTCATTGTGGTGTTCCGTCTTTTCGTATTGCAGAGTTACCTGCTCATTGTAACGCCATTAGTTTGTGTGAGAAAATTACGTAGTTTTCTCGAAAAATGATGACGTTACTCTCACAAACAAATGACGTAACAATCAATACCTGCTATCAAGAGCAGACAACTCTGCAATACGAAAAGACGGAATACAGTAAAACAGTAACTTGGATTGTCACACAACTCTTCTAAATTAGACAAAAATAAGAAATAGCAAACAGGATATAACACCTTTAGCTACCCGATCACGTTTTCACAGGTGAATGTGTCCAACAGGTCCTCTTGCTGTTCACTTGCATAATGTTAAAATGAATATATAATCAGCTAGCATTCCAGAGGGCAGGTTACGTTATCTTCAATAAAAGCTGATAGTGACTCCTACAATATCAATTAACTACCCGTACAAAAGATAACTCTGTCCATATCAGTCAGTTAATGCTATCACATGAGTATCTATACTAATATTAGTCCGTACATCTACCTACATGTATCAGTTTGATTCTGTGACACAGCCATGAACCTCAATAATTCATGCTGCGACGCTGTCCTTTCAGACAACCAGTAAAAGTGGATGCTGTGATTTCATTTAAAAGGCACAGTCATGAATCAAAACTGGTCAGAATTAATGCTATGACAATGTCGTTCAAGGCACAAGATCAGAATTAATGATGTGACACATTCATTAAAGGCACTAGGTCAGAATTGATGATGTGACACATTCATTAAAGACACTAGGTCAGAATTGATGATGTGACACATTCATTAAAGGCACTAGATCAGAATTGATGATGTGACACATTCATTAAAGGCACTAGATCAGAATTAATGATGTGACACATTCATTAAAGGCACTAGATCAGAATTAATGATGTGACACAATCATTAAAGGCACTAGATCAGAATTGATGATATGACACATCAGTTGTCTCCATACCTTTTCACATTCCATCAGGGAGTCAAACCCCGGCAGTCTTAGTGAAAAATGAAAAAACTCAACCTCACAACCAAAATCTGCATCTCCCTACCTGATAGAAAGTTGTCTCCCTACCTGATAGAAAGTCGTCTCCCTACCTGATAGAAAGTTGTCTCCCTACCTGCCAGAAAGTCGTCTCCCTACCTGATAGAAAGTGGTCTCCCTACCTGATAGAAAGTCGTCTCCCTACCTGATAGAAAGTTGTCTCCCTACCTGCCAGAAAGTCGTCTCCCTACCTGATAGAAAGTCGTATCCCTACCTGATAGAAAGTTGTCTCCCTACCTGATAGAAAGTTGACTCCCTACCTGATAGAGAGTTGTCTCCCTGCCTGATAGAAAGTTGTCTCCCTACCTGATAGAGAGTTGTCTCCCTACCTGATAGAAAGTTGTCTCCCTACCTGATAGAGAATTGTCTCCCTACCTGATAGAAAGTTGTCTCCCTACCTGATAGAAAGTTGTCTCCCTACTGTGAAGTCACCACAGTTATGAAGTACCCTACACCAATTATAAAACATTGAATTCCCCATAAATTCTATATATAGCAGTGTCCCTGACCCTCTGTTTGTACTTAAGGTTATCAATTAATTTAGTTACTAATACACAATGCTATGTTATCATGAGGGTACCTTATCAAGATTCAGAGGCTGAACTGTACACATCAGTGGCCTTAACTGTCCTAACTAACTTATACTGATTGGGGAAAGAGTAGATCAAGGTACTCTATCCCACCACATATTATCATCAAGTGACTTATGCGAGGTCTAGGGTCGGTAATAATTATTATCATCAAGTGACTTATGTGAGGACTAGGGTCGGTAATATACAATTATAGCATGGTGATGAGGTCGATACATGGTTTTATCGACCTAGGTTAGCAATATTGACCGAGGCCGCAGTCCGAGGTCAATATTGCTCACCTAGGTCGCTAAAACCATGCATCGACCGAAATCACCATGCTACAATAGTTTTATTATTTTAATTGATTTTTTCAAAATTGAAGAAAAAAATGTAAAAAAAATATAGTTTTCCATTTTCATTTCCATTTTTTTTCCAGAATCTATTTATAGCAGGTCAATAACACTTTTTCTACCAACTTTTTTACAAAAATTCCAGAATCTATTTATAGCAGGTCAATAACCCTTGTTCTACCAACTTTTTTACAAAAATTCCAGTATCTATTTATAGCAGGTCAATAACACTTTTTCTACCAGCTTTTTTGAACACCTGCAAACCACTCAGGGTTATAACTACTTTTACAGGGGGACACATGATGTTGTTTCAGCCAATCAGAGTCAGCTAAAAATCAATAAAAATAATAATAATTATTACCGACCCTAGTCCTCACATAAGTCACTTGATGATAATAATTATTATTATTTTAATTGATTTTGAGGTGGCTCTGATTGGCTGAAACAACATCATGTGACCACCTGTAAAAGTAGTTATAAACCTGAGTGGTTTGCAGGTGTTCAAAAAAGTTGGTAGAAAAAGTGTTATTAACCTGCTATAAATAGATTCTGGAATTTTGTGAAGTCATTTAGATGCTTGATTAACACCTCATGGCAGACAAACACAGTACTGATCAAGATTAACACTGAAGTCACTTATTGCAGATATTTAAATGATTATTGCAGATATTTAATTAAAAAATGTTATTTTTCTGATATTTTTGATTAGTTAATTTTAAAATTTGTGACTAAAAAAAATGGAAGTTACATTTTTTTCTTCAACTTTGAAAAAAATCAAATAAAATAATAAAACTATTGTAGCATGGTGATTTTGGTCGATACATGGTTTTATCGACCTAGGTTAACAATATTGACCTCGGACTGCGTCCTTGGTCAATATTGCTAACTTAGGTCGATAAAACCATGTATCGACCTCATCACCATGCTATAATTGTATATTATCATCAAGCGACTTATGTGAGGACTAGGATCGGTAATAATTATTATCATAATGTTTTATGACAACTTGTATCCGTCATCAATGTTTTATGACGACTTGTATCTGTCGTCAATGGTTTATGACGACTTGTATCTGTCGTCACTGTTTTATGACGACTTGTATCTGGCGTCAATGTTTTATGACGACTTGAATCTGTCGTCAATGTTTTATGTCGACTTGTATCTGTCGTCAATGGTTTATGACGACTTGTATCTGTCGCCAATGTTTTATGACGACTTGTATACGTCGTTAATGTTTTATGAGGACTTGTATCTGTCGTCAATGGTTTATGACGACTTGTATCTGTCGCGAATGTTTTATGATGACTTGTATCCGTCGTCAATGTTTTGTGACGACTTGTATACGTCGTCAATGTTTTTTGAGGACTTGTATCTGTCGTCAATGGTTTATGACGACTTGTATCTGTCGTCAATGGTTTATGACGACTTGTATCTGTCGTCAATGGTTTATGACGACTTGTATCTGTCGCCAATGTTTTATGACGACTTGTATCTGTCGCCAATGTTTTATGACGACTTGTATACGTCGTTAATGTTTTATGAGGACTTGTATCTGTCGTCAATGGTTTATGACGACTTGTATCTGTCTTCAATGTTTTATGACGACTTGTATCTGTCGTCAATGTTTTATGACAACTTGTATCTTGTCGTCAATGTTTAAAACAGCAAGCATGAAATTTCCTTATGAAATATGTGGACTATTTGGACTCTGCAGCAGCAAGGAAAAGCAATACAAGTGACCTTGACAAGTATCATTATAGCTGTCATAGATGCTTCTGAGGGGGCATAAAAATAACGTTTTAATGTATTAAGGGACTTCAGTAAATAAACTGAAGTGACAAAGATTTCTAATTTTTAGCTTCTTAAAAAATACTCTACTTTTGAGATATAAAGCGTTCACTTTACCATCCATGTATTCTCCCCAGTATGTCACTGACATGACTGTACAATTGCGAACCGATATACTCTATACCAGGAAATACTTGCTATTGGTTTTACTGACTAAGGGCAAACGTTTGACTGGGCGAAAACTTTCCCAGAATACAGTAGGTCTATATAGCTACCTGACAGTGCTCTTTGTGGGTTGTATGAACCGGTCTTTCCCAGAATACAGTAGTTCTACCTCACAGTTGCTCTTTATGGTTTATATGAACCTGTCTTTCCCAGAATACAGTAGGTCTACCTCACAGTGCTCTTTGTGGTTTGTATGAACCTGTCTTTCCCAGAATACAGTAGGTCTACCTCACAGTGCTCTTTGTAGGTTGTATGAACCGGTCTTTCCCAAAATACAGTAGTTCTACCTCACAGTGCTCTTTGTGGTTTGTATGAACCTGTCTTTCCCAGACTACAGTAGGTCTACTCACAGTGCTCTTTGTAGGTTGTATGAACCTGTCTTTCCCAGAATACAGTAGGTCTACCTCACAGTGCTCTTTGTGGTTTGTATGAACCGGTCTTTCCCAGAATACAGTAGGTCTACCTCACAGTGCTCTTTGTGGGTTGTATGAACCTGTCTTTCCCAGAATACAGTAGGTCTACCTCACAGTGCTCTTTGTGGTTTGTATGAACCTGTCTTTCCCAGAATACAGTAGGTCTACCTCACAGTGCTCTTTGTGGGTTGTATGAACCTGTCTTTCCCAGAATACAGTAGGTCTACCTCACAGTGCTCTTTGTGGGTTGTATGAACCTGTCTTTCCCAGAATACAGTAGGTCTACCTCACAGTGCTCTTTGTGGTTTGTATGAACCTGTCTTTCCCAGAATACAGTAGGTCTACCTCACAGTGCTCTTTGTGGGTTGTATGAACCTGTCTTTCCCAGAATACAGTAGGTCTACCTCACAGTGCTCTTTGTGGTTTGTATGAACCTGTCTTTCCCAGAATACAGTAGGTCTACCTCACAGTGCTCTTTGTGGGTTGTATGAACCTGTCTTTCCCAGAATACAGTAGGTCTACCTCACAGTGCTCTTTGTGGTTTGTATGAACCTGTCTTTCCCAGAATACAGTAGGTCTACCTCACAGTGCTCTTTGTGGGTTGTATGAACCTGTCTTTCCCAGAATACAGTAGGTCTACCTCACAGTGCTCTTTGTGGTTTGTATGAACCTGTCTTTCCCAGAATACAGTAGGTCTACCTCACAGTGCTCTTTGTGGGTTGTATGAACCTGTCTTTCCCAGAATACAGTAGGTCTACCTCACAGTGCTCTTTGTGGTTTGTATGAACCTGTCTTTCCCAGAATACAGTAGGTCTACCTCACAGTGCTCTTTGTAGGTTGTATGAACCTGTCTTTCCCAGAATACAGTAGGTCTACCTCACAGTGCTCTTTGTGGTTTGTATGAACCTGTCTTTCCCAGAATACAGTAGGTCTACCTCACAGTGCTCTTTGTGGGTTGTATGAACCTGTCTTTCCCAGAATACAGTAGGTCTACCTCACAGTGCTCTTTGTGGGTTGTATGAACCTGTCTTTCCCAGAATACAGTAGGTCTACC